TTCCTTCCTTCCTTCCTTCCTTCCTTCCTTCCTTCCTTCCTTCCTTCCTTCCTTCCTTCCTTCCTTCCTTCCTTCCTGTTGAGCAGTCTCCCTCTCAAGGGGCAAGGGGACTGTCCTGCCCACCCACCCTGACAGCTAGATTTGGAATTTGGCCCCACTGGAGAATCCCGTAGGGGTCTGGTACAAACTGTGATGATGTCACGTTCATTAAGATGTCATTTGGCAGATGACAACATTTGGGTCAATTGGCATGATCCACGGTTTGCATCATTTCCACGATGACATCATGGTTTGTACCATTTGCATGTTATGCGTGATATCTGTCCATGGATTTTCTAAGAGAGGGGGGCAGGAGGAAATTTACACTACAGGATTTAATTAGATATATACTATAATTGCAGTCTAATAGACTACAGGCAATCCCTGGGTTAAGAATGAGGTGTGTCTGTAAATCTGTCTTTAAGTCGAATTTGTACATAAGTCAGAACTCATACTGAAGCCGCGCATTTTTAATATACAGTATGTTTTCAGCAGTTCATGAAAACATTGTGCAGCTTCAGCGGTTTGTGGGCTCAAGGAAGGAGAACACCATCCGCCATTTTTAGTAACAGGCAACCCGTTCATAAGTACGAGTTGTCCATAAGTCGGACATTCTTAACCTGGGAATTGCCTGTATTTGGAGCGTGAAGAGGTATCGCCAAATCTGAACGCACGTACATTTTGCATGGTTTACATACCCTTTTCATAAATTATGTAAATTTATACAAATTGCCTGGACAGATTCACTGAACAATGTACTTTCCTGTTATTTGAGAGAACATCCAATTTTGTCTGTTGCATGCCACGCGTACAGGTGCATGAAAATCAAGGTTTTCTTGCAGTTAGATCTGGAAAAGAAAATGCATGTGGTCCTGGAGCCAGGTTGTCTCGGGGCCAAGGGGTCTTGACTTGCACTTAGTGGCACCCCTGACTTCAGGAATCTGGGGTAGCTGGAGAAGGAAGGAGAGAGACTGAAGTGGGGAGGAGGAACAGAGAATTGCTGGCCGTGGCAGAGAGCCCTTTAAAAGGGACGGTGGGCACGGTTGGTGACTTTGTTAAACATTAGGTTCCTCCTGACGTTCTCTCTCTTCCCCCATCTCTGCAGGGTTGAAATTTGACATGAAGTACATGAACTTTCGTGTCAAAGCTTGCAACAAAGCTGTGGCAGGAGAGTTTTCTGAGCCGGTTACGTTGGAAACAAGAGGTGAGCAAACCCCAAGGGGGCATTTCTGGAGAGGGGGCACGTGGATTTCTAGCCCAGCTAGAGATCGGCAGGGATTGGGAAGGTCCCAGCGTGTTCCAGTTCTGGTGACTGTGGTTTCCCAGTTTGGATTCCTAGGGAACTCTGGTTTGGGATCCCAAAAAGGTTGAACTCGGGGGCACTGGGAGTGGAGGTCAAAAAAATGAAGATGGTGGCTGCGCCGGTGTGATCAAAGCCTCACCTAGTGTCCTTGGCTGAACTTGTACTATGCCAAGAGGAAAGGAGGATGGGGGTTGGAGGAGATGGCCTCAGAGGCCCCTCCCCTCAGCATGCTTCATTGATCAATGAAGTTGTGTGTTGTAGGAAATTGCCAGTCCCAGTAAATAGGCCAGATCAGGAAGCCAACTCCACCAGAAGGCTAAAACTACTTTGACTGAGATGGGCTTAATAACAGAATCTTGCAAGTCTGATTGTGCTGACTTCCTCCCCCTTCTTATACTCCCGTGAATCAGGGAGGTGTCTGCCTGAGCCGCTTCTGAAGGTTATCTGGTTGTTCTGGACTTAAAAAATGTTTCGGCCCCCTTTGCCTAGGTAGCAGTCCCTGCATATTTCCATCAAGGTCATCTTCCTTGCTCTCTACAGAAGTGCCCAAATGCACGTCCCAATCACCGATTGGGTACAGCACCCACATATCTTGCTACCCGCCCAGCCCCTGAGAAAAGGTCTTGTGGTATCATGGAGTCTTGTCAGTACTTTGCTGGAGCAAACACTCACAGCTGCTGCAGAGAACATCGGTGGGGCTCCTGTGTTCCCAGCATGGTGCCTTTTGACCCCATCGGTGCGATTGTGCGCTACCAGAATCTTCAGTCATTTGACTGGGTTAGTGGCTGACCAGGTTAAACCTGTGAGAACAGGTCTCATGTTTCAATGATCATGCACACCTTGGTTTAATAAATGGCAATATCATTCAGTGTTTTCCTGGAATGTTTCTCCCCACCCCTCATGTACAACTTGCACTCCAGCAAATTTGGGTTGCACTGTCCATTGGGAAGACAGGAAGTTACTCCATGAAACCAAAGATCTTGGTGGAAAGTAGCATAGCTTGGACTGGGGAAAGGGATATCCAAGGGGAGGGAGGGAGGGAGGGAGGGAGGGAAGGAAGGAAGGAAGGAAGGAGAGAGAGAGAGA